ATCATTCGTATGTCGTCTGACTGCCCCTATCCCATCCCAAGGCCACTAACTGACCACATACAAAAAGCCCATACCATCATTCGACGACGTCGACCCCTCCGAAATCTACTCCATAACCGAACCCTACCTATCAGCCCTCTTCCCACCAGTCGACGACCTCCCCGATCCCCTGCCCTTACCACCCCCATCGCGAGAAACAAACCCCATATTTCTCACCCCCCGAAGCGCATCTCTCTGGTCTCAGCTTGTAGCCCCCCCTCCACTCCAACCACCAGACTGGATCCGCTCCCGAATCCGCCGCCTCTTCCTGGTATCCCTCGGAGTTCCCGTCGATCTAGACGAGATCCTGCCGGCATCAAAGCAAAAGAAACTTGTCCTGCCTTCTCTCCTTCACAGGGTCAGCTCGACGGGCTCATTGCGAAATTCCAACGACGGGGGAACCGAAACCGGCGGCGGCGGCACGCCGCGTTCCCTCTCCCGCGTTAGGCAAAGCGGCCATAATGCCTCCAGCACGTCAGTCGACTCTCAAGGCAACCTGAAGCCTTCCAAATCGAGAGATAAAAAGACCACTTCTTCTTCTTCTTCAGGAACTACTTCTGGGGGGGCAGCAGGGAAGAAGGGACAGCAGCCCGAACCATACCTCGACCTGACAAGCGCAAAGCAATTGTGCATGACCACCGACGAAGCCCTCTCGGGCATGACGGACCAGGAACTACAGAACCATGTCAAGAAGTTGGAGGATATGCAAGGCTTGGCGCACGAGATGCTCGTGTACTGGCAAAAGAGGACCGACGAGAAGATTGGAGATCGGGAGGCGTTTGAGGGGGTTATTGAGAATCTGGTCAAGCATGCTAGGAAGACGAGGAAGTAGGGACCACCTCCCCTTTGACCTTGCTTGAAGTGGTATTTTGCAGCATCAGGTTATAAGTCAAGTGTGGGAGGATCTGGTGAGGATCCATTCTTCTTGGTTTATCATCAGAGACAGCAGCGTTTTTATTCCAAAAATCTCAATTCAATTCAAGGGTTTCTTCTTACGGATGGGTGGGATGGATGGATACTACCGGTAGTGGTGGTATGGAAGGAGGAAAAATAGAATTTATATTATTAATTAGATAGACACAGACAGACAGATAGCTGCCTACCTAACCAGGTCGAAGAATGCAATGCAATGTTGGGGTGAAAACTCCAACATGATTGCCCATATCCAAAATGCGGTACAAGCCTCAAGAAAAGTCATGATATACATTTAAATCATATTCAACAGGCCCTGTGAACTTTTCTTTTACAGCTATTTCTGGTCTTCTTGATGCAATTTTGAAAAATATCCCATATGTATGGTTCATGGTACCAAAGCATATCATATATGGACGTGTTTCCACACCCTTTTCTCAACCCAGTTGACACACACACACACACACACAGAGAGAGAGAGAGAGAGAGAGAGAGAGAGAGAGAGAGAGAGAGTCAAGACCAGATTTGAAAAAGTTGGGACGCTATTGCACTAGTAAAGGACAACTGCTTTACAATCATTTCTATTTTGCCTCGCTGACTTCTTTCCAATTTCCCCCTCAGCTCCTATATAGCTACCTAGTAGGGACAAAGGAAGAAGTCCGTTTTTATTCTACGCTGAAATTTCGCTTGTCTGATTATGCTTCTAAGAGGTGCTAGGCTCCAATGTCTTACCACTAAATCGTATCATATGTTAGCGTTTATTCTGATGAAGCAGTGAGTGACAGTCTGCAGGGAAACTTACGCAGCAATGGTGGCCCACCCAATCAGACGCCAATGCTTGTCGATACGTCTGCTGAGAGCAACCTTCTCGCCAATCTTTGTGCAAGCGGGACTCGTGAGCACCAGCTTGGCGGCATCCTTCTTGATGGCAGAAATCTTGGCACCGGTAGACGTCGAGCCAATGTTGACCATGATGACCTCGTTCTTGGACAGCTTCTCGACCTTGGCCTGCTTTCCATCGGCAGTCCTGACACCGAGAAGGCGGCGGAGGAGGTAGAAGTTGATCTCGATCTCGCTGTAGATATCAGGGAGGCGGCCCTTGAGGCCGAGCACGAAACCGACGAGACGATCAGCTCTACAGAGCGTGGGGTCGATCTTGGTACCCACACCAATGAGACCACCGGGAACGGCATACTTGAGGTCGTTACCTTCCGAGTTGAGCGAGACGATCCTGCTGAAGATGGGAGTGCACTTGAGGTCGCCGTTCTCGTCACGGGAGACGATACCTGGGCGGATCTCGATCTCGTCACCTAGCTTAAGCACGCCGTGCAGGATACTGCCACCGGCAACACCACCCTTGAGCTCTTCAATCTCGGCACCAGGCTTGTTAACGTCGAAAGAACGAATTACAATCATCTGAGGGTCAGAGCTGAAGTCTCGGGGAGGGACAGGAATGGTGTGGACGATGGCGTCGAGGATGGCGTCGATGTTGATCTTGAGCTGGGCAGAAATGGGAATAATCGGAGCCTTGTCGGCAACGGTACCGCGGATGAACTTTTGGATGGACTCGTTGTGTTTGCTCGCGGCTTCTTCCCTCATAAGATCTACCTTGTTCTGAAGGATAATGATCTTGTCCAACTTCATGATCTCGATAGCGGCCAAATGCTCCGAGGTCTGCGGTTGGGGACAGGATTCGTTTCCAGCGATGAGTAGGAGAGCGGCGTCCATGACCGCGGCTCCTGACAACATGGTGCTCATGAGAATGTCGTGACCAGGGCAATCGACAAAACTATCAGATCGTTAGTAGCGGTTTAATCACAGCTGATGAGTCGAGTCCTCCGCGATGGGTAGCCTTACGAAACGTGACGCAGCAGTCTGTATGTGCCCTCGCAACCTTCCCGCTCGCATGGCGGGTCAACCTCCTTGTCGCTCTTGTAGCTGCGGTAGCATGTCGGCCGTGGGCAAGCTGGGTTGTCGCACTTGTAGATCTTTGCATTGGCATATCCAAGCTTGATTGTGATGTTACGAATCAGCTCGTTCTTAAATCTGACGGTCTGGACGCCAGAGATGGCCTTGACCACTGTCGACTTTCCGTGAGCGACGTGACCGATGGTGCCGATATTGATGGTGGCTTGCCGCGCAATAATTTCGGGGGTCAGAGGGGTAAGGGCGCTGACGTCGAGGTCTTTCGGCTCGGTCTGTGGAGGGAGGAAGGGTTTCGCGACAGGCGCGAGAGGCTCTGATTTTTTGAGAGAGGACTTGAGAGGCTTCTCAACAACCTCATTGTCGGACTCGCCCGAGTCAACGGACTCGTTGTCGGAGCCGGACTCGGGAATATCATTGCCAAACTTGTCGTTGGCAGACATCTTGATCTTTTTTTCGCGGGGTAACTAGCGAGCGGGTGTCGGCTGTTTCTGTGCGCTTTCTGTGGTGTAAGAGGGGCCGTTAACGGTTTATTCGAGACTTGAAGATGATGTATGACCTGAATACGTACAATGATCCTAGGGTTGGTGCTGGAGTGGATGCAGGTTACTGGTTAAGTTGCGGCTCGACGTCTGGTCTGTTCAAGGCGAATGGATATTTGACGAATTTGGTGTGCAGTCATACCTCTAGGTGTGTGATCCTTGCAAGCAAGTGTAACAAGCCTAATTGGGTTAGTTGGATTTTGCCCCACGTCTTCCGATAAGGCCGATAAGAATTTACATAGTGGGGCGTAAAGCTCTCGATACCATCGCCTTACAACAGGACAGCGTCGGAAAACCCCAATCTGAGCCTCTAAATTTCATCTTGTAGGCTATAAACGCTTCTCTCTTATACGTATTTCTCTTCTTTTTCATGTATGTGAAAGAAGTATCCTATATGTCTGGTATTCCGGATAATATGAAGGCCTACGAGAGGAATTTCACACCCCCTTTTTTTACCCAGTTGGCAGCTTGGGCTGAAGGGGGCTTGGGGGCTTCAACGGCTTCACGAGTAACCCGTAACGTGTCAACTGGGTCCAGAAACGGGGTGTGATGAACCATATATGCCTTTTAGAATAAATAAACAAACCTTTATCTATATCCGAGTCACATCTTGCATACAACTTCCTTCTCAGTCATATTCCTCTTCCACTCCAACTTTTTCTGTCCCGCGCTCCGGACGGACGCTGTATCCCAAACCTCAAAAGTCCTCCAGCTTCAATACTTCGTACGATGGCTCTTCGTACGGGTGGGCACTGAAAGAAACATCCATGTCAGTCAAGTGGTGGCTTCAGCCAACCTCATCGGTGGTGTGGACCTACGCCTTCAACGCGGCAACCGCCTGCCTCGTGACTTCCTCTCCCACGCAGAGGGTCTCGACCTTGGCCTCCTTGATCTTCTCAAGCGTCCCCACGGTCCCGATATGTGGGCTCGCAGCTTCTCCCGGCCGGAACTGGCCGGTGCCCATGACGGTCCAGCAGCACTCGGTGTAGTTGCCCGGGCCCGGATATCGACCCGCACCAGCGGCGAAGATGGCCTTTTTGCATGTCTCGAGGGCCGAAGGAGGAACGTGGAAGATCAACTTGAAGCGGGCTACTGCTGCTGCTGCCATTTTTTCGGGTTGGTAGATCCAAGTTGGATTACAAAGCAGATGGTGAGGTAGGCAGGGTGATTTTCAGGGATAGCTGTTGAAGGTTCGATGGTGAAGTAATGAGACGGGCCCTGAATGAAGTCTTTGGCTGATGTTGGTGTCTGGTCAACGCCGCTCCCGGTCGAAGCTATGGTCTCGCTAGGTACTGTTTGTTTACTGACCATTTTCTAGTTGGCCCCCCGTCTCCTTTGGTCAAAGCTTGATGAGGATTAAAGCACAATAATTTTCATACTTCTTTCCGCGTTGTCTGATCATTTGAGTGAATGATCTTAAGGGCACATACATCCTTGCTTGGAGGAACGTGTCGAATCAGCAAGATATCATGGACGATAAGGAGGACTAGAAGATATTCCATCAGGCAAGTTCCGGTATCTATCATATATCATCACGGGGCTGTATACAAGGCCCATCAGGCTCTAGTCTATGGCAAAAAGATATGCCCCCGAGCGGAATCGAACCGCTAACCGGACCAGCGCCGATGATTTCGAATAGGGTTTGGGGAAAATCGCTAGAAAACGCTGTGTGAAATATCAACGCTGGTCCGCGCTCAGACCACTGAGCTACAGGGGCTTCTGTTTTGTGGCTTTTTGTTAGGATGCCTATGCTTAAAGTCATATGTATACCCTCTTGGGAGCAGGAGAAAGTTTGGTGGAGGTGGGGATATGGGCGGTGGTGGTGAACTCTACTCGCAGAGACGAGACAATCCTCGCCCAGACAAGAAAGCCCCGAGCTACTTGAAAAATCCACAGCAAATCGCCAGACGTCAGCAACAAGCCTCAAGCCTCGCAGCTTGACTCGGTCCGATGGTGTAGTTGGTTATCACGTCAGTCTAACACACAACACACTGAAGGTCGGCGGATCGAGCCCGCCTCGGATCAGACACTAGCTTTTGGTGGACTTGTCAACTTTTTACCTGGTTTTTTCAATATATTCATATTGAATACGAAACTTTGTGTTTTGACGTTCATCTTCGAGTTCGGATCATACCCAAACCGAGGTATTGAACAAAAAAAGTAAAATACGACTGGACTTGTCAAAGGTCATGGAGAGATAATCCTGACACACCAGAAGGGCATTCCTGGAGTGAGCAAGCCGTGGAAATGGAGCATCTCAGAACATGTGAGGACGAGGTCATCAGATCAATAATGAGGGTCGGAATGGGAAACGTTGTACGAAGAGCCGAAGACCAAGGTTCTATAGGACGTAGTAACACAATAGGTGAGACTGATATGTTTCTGAAGAGGCTGGGCAGTGAGCTTCAATTACACGCAGCCTCAAACTTGTAGATATGATCGTGTCTTTTTCTCCAGGTCTCGGTGTGGACTTGTTGTGGATCGGAGAACCGATAATCTCGCATTCATAATGCAGATGATTTCCTCAAAAGAGAAGCACAGAAGGACAGTCAGCTCGTGCTCTTACCGTGCTTGGAAGCTAGCCAGGTGTCCGTTCTGTCTTTGTCTCCCTTTGTCTATTAGGATAGATAAGGAGCGGCGCTATACCTGAGTAACATTATACCTCTACTCTATCAGGTTCTCTTCTGTTCTTGACACACAGAGCCTGTGTGAAGTGGAATAGGAGATGTAATAAGATACATGCTGGCTTTGGCCTTCGGACTCGGAATCATGACTTTGATTGTCCTTGCTGGTAATAGATCAGCAATATACTTACATTTCTCTGGATCATGTACTCACAGCGTACTATATCAATGTCACCAAGAGCCCATATACTCGGTCGGAATCACGATAGGCAGTCGAGGTTGTCATCTAGAGCAACAAGTGAACACTTGTATACCAAGGTAGATGATATTCTCATTTCATAACCCGACATCTGTACTTTCTCAAAGTGGTTCTTTTTTTGGTAGTCAGCGTTTGACACTTGTTCCCGTCATAGACCGCAACATAAGAACCTGACAGGTTGTACGATTGTGGAACAAAAGAGACGCTGACATGACCATGAACCAATGTCCAGAGCTTAGATTCCTGATGTTACTCCCTTCTGGCTTCCTATTTTGGTGTAAAACCCCATCACATTGCTGTCTCGTATTCTTAAGTAAATATAACATGGCAACAACAATGTCACTTCACGATAACAGAGACGATGGAGGTGTACTCGGACGCGGCGCTGAACCTCACTCGAGTGAACTGGCTCTCAGGGTCACTCTGTGGTATTCTGACGCTCATTTCATAGGGTTAGTCAATACAAGTGCCGCGGTAGTAAAGGGTACTGGTATCTCAGAGTCCTGATAATGAGGCCCTCAATCTTAACAACTTACTTCACGACTTGAAACTATCCACGAGCTATGATCATTGGTGATATGATGTACGTTTTCTTGCGTCTCGTCTATCAATAACCTCGCAACCCCGAGTCGGCAATCTCGTCAAAGGCACATACACAGAACACGAGCACGTTTTCGCCACGTTTTTTATATATATACTTGCTTCCTCGCCTCCCAGAACCAAGATTCAAGAAACAATGGTAAGAAGGTCATTAACCCCTTTCCATCACACAATATTGTTTCTAGAAAAAGAACAAATATGGCACCCAAGTGACAGACGTGGAAAGGAATGACGCTATCGATCAATATCAGATCGGATTTAGGATCATTTCTATGCGATGGTATGGGATGTGATGCGAGGTGTGACGGATTCCATTATCGAATCCATGGTTCAATCCTCCTGTTGACCTGTAGGTTGTTTCGTTTGACGCGTGGTCTGGCTATATGGATATTGAATGGGAATACCTACTCTACATGCGAGCAGCAGAGGGGGAAACAGCAAAGAGGAAGGATATAAATATCCTGTGGGGTCCGTGTGCCTTGGTCGGAGTTGAGGACTTATCAAGGCAGATCCCTCCGTCCACCTCTGGAGTGCCGTACTCTGGAGGATTCGGTATTCCATAACCGGAGTCATGAGTGGTCGGCTGGTAGGTACCGTACATATCCGCACATGACGTGCCGCATGGGGGCAGGAAGCAACTGGCAAGAACGGTCTGGATGTGTGAGGGTCAGCAGAGACAAGATCTTCTCCTTTATTCCCTCCTCTCTGCCTTGGGTTTATTGTTTGCCCCATAAATCACATGTTGTGGTATCGACAATCAATGAATTGAGTAGCTTGTTTATTTCGGGCTGCTGGACGTAACTTGACTGAAGGCTGAAGTGGTGGTTTCAGGGCATGAGCTGGCCTCATCGTGCATCTGTTTCCTCACCCAGCCACGGGAGACGTAAACGGTGCGTCGTAAAGATGCACAACAGGAAGTCCAGCCTCATGTAGATATCAAAGCTGAAAGAATTGTGCAGTGTAGAGGGCGACTTGATTTGTTTCGAGTTTCATCTGAACCGGCCTGGCCAGTCGGAATCTATGGCATCCGCGGTGGAATCAGAACACAGTGCTGTCCGGCCTGCGGTGAAGTTGTCAGTTGGTGGTGGCGGTTGTCCACGCTTGCTTGTGATGTGTGCCAGAGCATGGCTGGGCCTGGAAGCCTACCCACTCCACCCACCAAAGTCGGGTAACACCAGCCACACTACGATCGTAGTCGTGAATGCCTCTTTTAAAGAAAGAAAGAATCTTTCCTCAATCACTCGGTTCCATCATACCCAGCGGCTGAGATACAGACAAACAGGCGGTATTCATAGTGGTTCACCTTTGTGTGAATTCCCTGTCTCAGGCCCGAGGCTGAAGAATATCTTTCTTCTAGAAAAGAAGTCTTGTCTCTTCCATTCCTCACCCGGGATTCCGAACCTCGTGGGCGGTACGGATGTGCAGGTGGTGTTTCAAAACATCGCCCTTGCCTTACCATGCAGCGGAAAGTTTCACACATATCGACCGCTGATCGGCGTTGCTAGACCGGTATCCCGAGCGGCGTATAAACCGACATGGAGAATAAGTATTGGTGAGCTGAGATGAGAAAGACCGACCTTCTAGCACTCAATAAAGAAGATGGGCAAGTGTTGTGATCTCTCGCCTTCTCAAGATAGCAATCTCGCTCAAACTCTCGAGCTCATCAGATAGGGTCCATGCTTCCTTTCCCTTGTTACAGGTTAAGCATTCAATGACACCCACTTGCGTGAAATAGATAGGCGACGAAGAATACTAGATCTCTTCATGTGCGAAGGTTGGCGGTAACCATTATCCTGGTAGACCTGGTAATAGGCGATGGACGATAACACGGGAACCATCACCTCAATGAGAAGGGTTCAAGACTTGTTGGATTATGTGAGGTCCAAGGTAAGTCAGCCATGACATAGCCAATATAGCCGGAACTGGCCAAGATGGTGATAGTTGATGTGTGAAATTGAATCCTCTGATAGGTAGCGGTTTATAATTAGTAGCCAAACTGGCAGACTCCCGCCATGCTGCGTCTTCGATCACAGCGAGGGTGGGATGATGGGCAGATTCTTGCAGGTGCCGAGCCGTTATTTTTCTCGGCCACTGGAAGAAATATCCCACGAGGCCTGACCGGGATTATCCAGCATCTGTGTGACGGTTGAACGTTGGTGTGATTCCATCATTCCAGGCGGCGGAGGAAGGTCGTAATGAACCGAACCGAGGAGAACCGCCTCTTCTCTCCAGAGACTCCAAAGTCCAGATTCGATATTCACCCACCGAGAACCGGTGGGCTAAAAATACCCAAAGGGGATACGTGATGGTGGGCAAAATCTTTTGAGATGGTACCCAAAGTGCATATGGGTGTGCCCAAGACTTTGCTTGCAAGAATTTTGCCCCATTTCGTGAATGAGGCCGAGTATGAGCACTTTACACGTCTTGTTCATCCATATTGACTGCTACTTTGGCCGTCAGCGTCAAGATATTGCAGAACCTTATCGCTAAGATCAACCCTTGAGGTTAGACCTGCCGTAATCTCTTGGGAAATAATTCGGCCATATTTTGGACCGCCTGGTCGTTGTCAACATCCTGTCAATATGATGACTGTCAGACGTGGCAGGAAGTGTGAATTTTCACAACCGTCGAATCCGCACCCGGGAGTCTGGGAACATGTTCGTTGATTCATATGGCTCGCCGTGTTGAGGATGGACTTAGACTATCCGTACATACCCGGGACAGTCCAGAAATGGTTTGTGGCTTTCGGTGTTGGTGGCACACTCGTGCAAACACCGAGCAACCCCGCACTTGGGAAGGTTCTTTGGAGAGGGGAAACATGAGGTGAGATCCAATTCATGCTTACTCTTTTGGTGTATAAAATTCTTGCCCGACGGGACACGCTCTCTCGATCCTCGGCTGGAGCTAGAGGCTCAAACGTGATTGATGAAATATAAGGAAGAGCCGGCCTCACCTTTGTCTCGTACGACGGTCTCCCAATGAGTCCCTATTCATGAGATTTCTCGTCGCATTTCTTTGGCCCGCGATGGTTAGTTGATTTTTAGAAAACGTCCGGGGGCCAGTTCATGGCATGGACGACAAGAGAGGCAGGGACAGGCAAGGACAACCGCTGTGTGGCACGGCTTACCGCCCACCCATGCACGGCCGGCAGCTTGATCACGGCACATCGAGCTCTGATTGGCTGTATGTTTTTGACCCGCACGGGCGCTGAGCCTATCAGGGCGATCATTAGGG